AGTAATTAATTAAGGTGTAAGAATTTCAGTTTTGTATAACAAACAAATGTCAAAGGTTAACCGAAAAAGTAACTTGATAACTAAATTTTTTCCTATTTATAAGAATAATATAGGCCCCTAAATCTAAAAAAAAAAAAAAAAAAAAGATTTTGGCTTTAAACAATCCGCAAAAGGGTGATGATCCCTAAATGATAAAACATTCTATCAACTAATATACTGTATTATTTCAAAAAAAGAAAAAAAAGGAAACACCATAATGATTATGGACTAATACTTTATGTAACCATTAGTTTTAGCACAACTGCATATTTTCAGAAAGTTCTTCAGCAACTTTCACGTAAAGAAACACGTAAAAAAAGAAAAAAAAACTAGATATACATGAAAATATAGATTTGAAGAAACGACTGTGTGTGCTGCCTGCCTATTAGTATTGGTGAATGTAACATTTGAATAAATTATGGGCAGAACCATGAAAAGAAGAAGCCACTTATATCGCTAACGTTCGGAGACGAACGATTTTTGCCACAAGCGATTTAATTGTAGCTGTTTTTTGCCACACCACAACGTGGAGATGACAGTCCAATTCATCATGTTCACTCTACTGTAGACAGATGTCCTCAAGACAGGCGATAGCTTTTATAAATTGATAGCAACATCTACGTTTTCGGAGCGATTATCGCAGAACTGTTCCTTCCGATGTTTTACTCGTCCAAAGCGCTCGCTACTAACAATTATCATCAGAAACCTAAAATCTATTTACATAAGCTTAACTTTTATAAATAAAAAGAAGTAGAAAATAGAATCACTTTTTCTTCAATTGGAAAAGTTGAAACAATTATTTTATATACGAGTTGTTTACATATATAATAGATTTATTAAACAGATCTCACGAAACTTCGCTCTAATAATTACATATATAAATTAGAATTTATTAAACAAATCCATCAAAACTTTCATTCCCTCTAATGATTATATGTATAACAGATAGGATTTATTAAACAGATTCATCGAGGTAGCGCCACTTTTCCACGACAAAAATTGTCGTTAAAATGTTTATGTTATTATTAAGATGAGAGACCAAATTATTTTTTAATTATTTTTTGAAATTTTTAAATCCTTTCTAAGACGTTCGACATTTTAGTTAAAATCTTCTTTTTTTTTTTACGTCATCGAGATAGTATAATAATATCATTGACTTTTTTGAGCTTTTTTCGTTGAAAACACATTTTGGAAATTCTTGTGAAAATCAAATAATTGTTCGATTTTAATGAAATTTTCAGGAATTATTTACAAATGAATGAAATTATTTTTTAAATATTTTTTTCGAAAATTTTGGTAAAAAATATTTTTTTTATATATGTTACCCCTCCCCCACTTACTTAATTTCATGAAATTTTCCAAAAAAACTTTCTATTTCTTGAATTAATTTTTTTGTTCAAAGTAGGACTCCTTGGAGAATCTAAATCGCCTAATTTTTTTTTTTTAAATTTGCACTATTCTAACTGAAAATTGGCTCTGAATTGAAAAAAACAATGAATGCAATAAAACTATGACATTATTTAATTAGAAAAGGTTTTAATTGCTTTTGTAAATAAGTTATATTAAGAACATTATTGTCTGAAGAAATAAAAATTTTCAGATGAATAGCGAATTTTTACCAGAATTTTTTCATTTTTTTAAAAATTTTAATTATAATAATTTCTAATAGTTTAAAATCGTCGAAAATTCCCTATTGGGCTATTTCCTAGGTGTGATATTGTAATGAAGTAGAAACGAAATTTACGAATCCAAAACTGAAAAGATTAATAAACGTAGTTACGCTATTCTATTTTTAAAATAATTTTTTATTTCTTATTTTTTTTACCTTATTTGTTCCCTATTTTCATCTATGAAAGTCTAAACGTGACATTATTATGAAACGGTCACGTTATCTAAGCGTTTTGTCTCTTCACAGAGAAATTAATTCAAGAAAATTTTATAGCATTTTTTTTATTTTTGCATAAAGCATCTTCAAAAGGTAAATAAAAGTCAATAAATTATTAGATAATTGCGGAAAATATGTTCAATTGTAAAAATTACTAAGTAGTTAAACCCCAACAGCACCCCCCAACAAAAAAAAAATAAATGCGTTCACTTAGATATCTTTCAATTGAAGCTAAAATGAATTCTTCAAGAATGATTTTTCATTTTAAAAAATTCATTTTAAACTTTAGGTATTGAAAATTTATGCCGAAATAGTGGAGGTAACTAGATTCATCAAAACATTAATTTACTTCAATGATTACATATATAACGGATAGGATTTATTAAGCAAACCCATCAAAACATACATTTACTCTAATGATTACATATATGATTAATAAAACATGATATATATGATATATATAATATATAATGATATATCTGATATATATGATATATATAATATATAATATGTTTATATAATGGTTACTGATAGGATTTATTAAACAAATCCATCAAAACATACATTCACTCTAATGATTACATATATAACAGATAGGATTTATTAAACAAATGCATCAAAATATATTTATACCGTATATTTCCTCGCAACATTTTAAATCTTAAAAATTACCTTTAAAAATAATGTGTCATGTAATACAACAGGTACATGAAGCTAACCTTTAATCCTGTCGTATATAGGCTAGTATGCTTGTGCCATGGATCATGGTAGGCTAGCAACTGCCTCTGACTGTAACCACCAAAGAAAATATTTGTAGCTGAAACAATTCCTATTTACCGTGCTGTAGTTATAAATGTAATAAAACTACTTTTACTTCTTGATTCCACATTAAAATGCCATATTCAAGAAACGAATACGCAACAATTTGTAAAAGTTCCGTTGAGCAATGCGCACAATCAACAAGTCAGCAAATCTTTCGTTCTTGAATTGGAGAGCTATGGCTGCCTTCAAACCAATCAATATTTCTCATAGTTTTGTTAAATAACATCATCTAAGATAATATACAGTCCATATTTCTGATTAAAATTCATTATCATTGTAGTAGTAAATAACAACAACATTTAGTATAACATAAAAAAAAACTTTATTTGTCAATAATATACATTAAAGAGTATATTTTACGGTGTAAAAATTTTATGGCATCTTGGATGCTACCAAGATGCCATAAAATTTTTTATTTCTCCTTACAGAATAAAAACCATAAGACATCTACATACATAAGTAAAACCCTTCAAAATTACTATAATCATCACCATCTGATACAAAGAACTCACCATAAACATTGTCATTTATTGTCACTTGTTTGGTCCGATTCGGTCGTCTTATACTCCGGATATCAAATAAAATCATGAAAATTTATACAGATTTTATGTCTGGTCTTATATATAGGTCGCTTTATCCGTGGAAATATACGATATATAGGTAGAGGAATATGCGTGGATAAAACGAAGAAATAAGCAAATCATCAACACGGCTGTACAAATTAAAATAATTTTTCATTATAGAATATTAAATTCCTTTCATATTCAAAGAAATAAATTACAAAGATTCTCTGCGAAACAACATCACACAAAATATTTTTAAATTGTCGGCTTTACGATACAATCGAATCAGTTGCGTTAATATGAATGAAACAGAATGCTTCTACATGTGAGAATGTGTGTCACATATTAACGTTGTTTTATGAATGCGTATAATTTGTAGTAGTCGGCAGCTGAATAAGCCGTAAGCTGCCTTAATACTTCTACTGACGCTCGTAAACAAACTCAGTCCGTATGTTTTTTATGTGTCAATATTCCTATGCATTTTCGTAATATAATACTCAAATAAATATGCGAAAATGTGAATAATTAAGTAAGGTGTGAGAATTTCAGTTTTGTATAACAAATGAACGGCCCCTGGTCAAAGGTTAACTGAAAATTGCTAACTTAACATTATCCTATTTATATAAACTTGCTAACTTAACATTATCCCATTTATAAACATAATATAGGCTCCAAAATTTAAAAGTTAGATTTTACTAAAGTTTGTTGGTTAATAAATATTTTCACAATTTTTAAATATCCATTTTAAGGAGGGAAAATATTCTTGATCATATTCTGAAGTGATCCTTCGAAATTTCTTAGCAGACAAAACATTTTAATTGTTTGCACATCCAAAGAATACCGTGCTTCTCATATCACGTCGCTGATTGGTTAATATATATGAATATAGGAATTCAAACTGGGCAGTGGTAAAAAATGACTTAAGGTCTGTGTGAGCCGGATTTGTACAAAAATGAGTTTCCAGTGAGAGTACTTAAATCTATAAAATTTTTCTACACTCGTATAATATATATATATATATATATATATATATATATATATATATGTGTGTGTGTGTGTGTGTGTGTGTGTGTGTGTGTGTGTGTGTCCTCAATGAAGATGACCCCGGCCGTCCTGACGTAAAATTTTATCTTGATAAAAATCCTCTGAAAGGATCGCTTGGCTAAAAAGATAACAGTGAATACTGAACACGTTAACCAAACCTCCATCAATTTGGCTTCGTTTTAATAAATAGAAACACCTTAACGGTAAGTTTTATTGCAAAGATCAACAGAAAGTGAATATGAAATGATGTGATGTGTGGTGTTTGCAATTCCATTGGTCCGTAGCTCAAATGCAAAGTCAATATAGAAGAGCTTTAAACATATCCACCAGTTAACTATAGTAGAGATAATTTTAAAACAATAAGGAACACAAGCGTTATTCCAGTAGATTGACGATGCTCAAGAATGTTACAAGAGAAGAAAAACTGTTGGAAAGTCACCATTAATTTTCAAGCAAGTTTTGAGCGAAATAATTTCTTCAATGAAAACGTTTTATCCTCACATGAATCCACACTTCCATTGAAAATGATCCTGACCGTCATGGCAGGTTCGTCACTAAGGGGTGGCCTAGAGGGGTCTGTTCCAACCAAAAATCACATGCCTCACCCTGAAAATGATATGAACTAAATTTTGTGTTCTCCTTCAAGCTTGCAGCCATATCACGTTGAAAAACCTGTTCACGTACGATCATCAAGGCTAAGCAAACACGAGCCTGGTCAGTACCTAGATGGGTGACCGTTTGGGAATATCGGGGTGCTGTCAGCTTGGATAGGCAGGTTGTATAATGGATAAAAGTTCGGATTTGTTAATCAGGGAGTAAAGTTTCAATGTAAGTTAGGTTCTTTATAGTCACCTATGCCCTTGGGAAGGTATGAATCTACCTTTCCTTTCCTACCATTTTATGGCTTTATTTAGTAAAACTTGTATCAGTAAATCATTATTATCTCCCAAATAAAAATTCTTACATTTTCTGGTTTAAAGTAACCCGCAAAAATAATAAAGATAGCTGCTGACTACATACTCTTTTTATACACTTAATAGTTATTCCTTTTTCTCAGTTTCATTTACTAGCATTACTGTTGGCTTGAACATTTACAATAACTCAACATAAGTCTACATTTGTCTTCTTTAATCTAATTATCAAACTCAGATGCTTCTTAATGGACATCATCTTAACACGTTGACTGTTATGTCAGCATATAATGGTGACATGTCATTTTAGTTTATGCCGTGACTCCAGATACTGGTGACGGCTATATTTTCATTTTAAGTTGCTTTGCCAAATGTTGGAACATTGTCGGTATGACGATAAACTACATGTAAGAGGACTGTTATTATATAACAGTTCAGTACTATTATCTTTGAAATTTACATAACTTTTACTGTAGTCGTTTACATTTATTACAATCAGAAACGAAGAGGCGTTTGTTGTGACCGGAGCTGTCACGCTGGTAAAACCGAAAATAGTTGTTCCTGTATGCTATAGCAGCAGAGCATGGAGAAGATTGAGGCTTCTCCTAGTATTTTCGAGAATGAATACAAGTATTCATGTCGGCGCAATTCTCAGTTTTATTAAATTTTGTAAATTTCTTCCACAGTATTTCTTCTTTAAAATGTTGGCTATGCCACCATATATTGGTTACATGGCATTTTAGTTTTCACTCTGTCTCCAGATCCTTGTGCCAGTTATATTTTCATTTTAAGTTGCTTATTGTTGGAGACACTCTCTATATTTCTATATAAAGCAATATCTGTGGCTTCCTGTGAAATTTTAGGAAAATGCAAATGGCGCCCTGCTTCTCTTATCTTTTACTTGAATGCTATATAAATGTAAAGGATGTATAAAAAAGCTTAAGAAAAACCTTTATTGATTCAACACCTCTATTAGTAATATTTGCAGAATTAATTTTATCACCAATATATGGTGACGTGGCCATAATTATAAAATAAATGTAAATTACATTCGTTGCAAGTAATACTGTTTCTTTATTTGCCATAAAACATCTGTTAGAAATTAACGTATATTTAACAAAAATAATAGTCTGTTAAACTATTATTTAACAATATCCTTCCCAAATATGTCAAAGTTACCTAGCACTTATGACAGTTCATTGTTATGTACGTTATCCAAGGCATTTGCATAATCTATAAAACATTGTGAAATATAGGTACTTTTGTATTTGTATTGCTCTTTTTGGTATCATTCTGAGCATAAATATTTCATTACTTTTTCCAGTATCCTTAAAGAACCCGCACTGTTCTGGGACTATTTCCGGTCTAATCCTGATGCAAGCTCTTTTCACCTGAATTCCTTTTCGCCTAAATTTTGTTATATGGCTCATTAGGCTGATTGTCCATGGAATTCATCTTTGTTTGAAACTGGATACTTAGACAGTGCTAATTCAACTGAAAAACGATGAATCGTATTTGCCAATCTTGTATTGTGCTTATATTGATGCGATCATAATACCAAGAAAGAGAGCTCATTCGAATAATGGACATTAAAATATTTATAGAAAAGACAGGACACCTTAATTACAATGTCTACTTCACTGAAAAAAAAAACAACGGTTCAAAAATAATATTCGTATATATATATATATATATATATATATATATATATATATATATATATATATATATATATATATAGTTTAAGGTGTGGTATATTTAGGGATAAATTGCTCAATATCAGAGATAGAGCGTATGTAAATATAAATATATAAGTGAACATTGAAGTCAACACTCAGAGGCGACAGGCAGTTTCATGCTAGATGCAATCGTAGGGCTGCCTGGCGATTGCGTCTAGCATGAAACAGCCTGTCGCCTCTGAGTGTTGACTTCAATGTTCACTTTTATATATATATATATATATATATATATATATATATATATATATATATATATATATAGGCCGGGTGTAACAGCATAACTGTCCATACCACAAAATATTTAATATCTAAAAACCTACTAAACTAATTCAGTTTCTGTTTTCCAGCTTTTCAGATAAGGCGTTTACCCATTTTGACACCATTTGTCGAAAGAATCACTGAAAAAACCCTCTGAGTTATTCAACTAGATACAGAACTGTGGTCGGAGAACAACTAGTGGAAATCTTAAAGATACATGTGGTTTTGATCCTGAAAGCTATATTCCATGAAGATAATAGAAAAAAACAAGAAACAGTGTTATTTATGACTTTTTATTTTTATTCAAAGGTTATGTTTCCAATGTGTTTATAAATACCATTCTCATCATCATACCAGATGTTGTGTCATATATATATATATATATATATATATATATATATATATATATATATATATATATGTGTTTATGTGGGAGCGCGCGTGATATGTACATATGTGTATACTAATTCTTTATTATAAGACAGTATGTACGTCAGAAGAGGGAATATACGTTATACGTATGCATACACATGCGCACAAAAACACAAAAACTGGAAATGGATCTAAGAACACGCAGGGATCATTAAAAGATAACCATACAGACACTCTTTCTCAGAACAATCTTAATTGTTTTATTACCCTTTACGCAGAACTATTTCACTGCCAACTCAAGGAAGTCATTTGGATCTAACACACAAAAAAGAGAATGTCTAATATAATGAATATTTAACATCGAGAAACATGAGAAAAATTAATTCCTTTTAGTAATATCTGGAAATATCTACTCTTTGCCTGATGAAGGTCGCGAGACCGGAAACTCGTGTAGCAAATTTATGGAAAATAAAGAATAATATATTTTAAAAAAATCCCCATTCCATACAAAAACGTTTGCATTCTCCCTTTTTTAAATATATATATATATATATATATATATATATATATATATATATATATATATATATATATATATATTACAATGAATCATTCATACAAAATTAAAATAGTAAAGTTAATGATATAAAATAGCGAAATACATTTGTTAACAAAATTTTAAAGATGCATTAACCTACTAATTACTCGATGAATGCTATGAACCTTGTTTTTTTTTAAAGTTATAAGCTCTGTAAAGTCTTTATAAAATACGCAAGTACTTTTGACTGTACATTCAGTCATCTTCAGGCATAGAAATTATTTTGTCTTTGGTAAAATTCAGGTATGTATGTATTGCATCTAGCTTGAAAAAGACTGTCGCCTCTAAGTGTTGACTTCTATGTTCACTTTTATATTTACACAAGCTCTGTCTCTGATATTGAGCACTTTATCCCACAAATATAGCCCATCTTAAGACTATATTTCTTCATATATATATATATATATATATATATATATATATATATATGAAGAAAAATATACTGAAAAAACAAACAAAAATACTAATATGCGATTATGCTGTTTTAATGTTTAATGTCAACGTCGGACGTTTCGGTCTAATAGACCATCTTCAGGACATATTCATAAAACATAATTTCAGTTATCTGTTTGGATTGTTATCTTTTATGTCCATCGTCTTTTTCATGTTGAATTGTATATGGTCTATGTTAATTATGTTTTATGAATATGTCCTGAAGATGGTCTATTAGACCCGAAACGTCCGACGTTGACATTAAACATTAAAACAGCTTAATCGCATATTAGGATTTTTGTTTGTTTTTTTCAGTATATTTTTCTTCGTACTGTCGGATCTATATCCATATTTGCTTACATATATATATATATATATATATATATATATATATATATATATGTGTGTGTGTGTGTGTGTGTGTGTGTGTGTGTGTGTTTGTGTGTGTTTGTGTGTGTGTGTGTGTTCTTATGTGTATATGTTAATGCGTTTGTAATGTATTTTCAAGGTGGTTCATCCATGTGTGGGTGTCTGTGTTTGCACGCATGCGTCTTTCTCTCTATGTGTCTAGTTTCATCTGTTGTCAAAATAACGTGTGTCCGTTTGTTTGCATAAGAAAGAGTGATAAAAAAGAAAAAGAATTAAGTGAAGAATTTATTTATTTGTTAATGTTACAAAACATTAAAATATTAAACATTTAAAATTTAGATCAGTTGAATCCACTATCTTGGTTTCAACCCTATTAAATAAGAAAAAAAATGTACATTTAAATTACCCCCACCCCACCAATACATTTGTAATACCCTTGATTTTCTACTCTTCCCCCTTCTTTTTCTCCTTCCTTCTTAACATTCTACCCTCCCTTCCTATCACACCCAACATCTTGCTTTTGTTTATTTATTTTTTAAAATAATAACGTTCATTTTTTTCTTTTACATAAATGTTTGGGAGGTCAATTGATAAAAATACCGTAAGGTTGAAACCAATGAAACAGATTCAACTGATCTATTTTTTTAAAGTTAAAAGCTCTACATGATCTTTTTATTTATATATATATATATTTGCGCACGTATATTGAGCACTTTTTAATTCTACTGTTTCCAGGTCTGATTCAACTCTGACAATTACACACAAACTCTCTCTCTCTCTCTCTCTCTCTCTCTCTCTCACACACACACATATAATTTCTATCTTGATCTCTGACGAGGCTTTAATAAAGTGACATATGTTAGATTAAGATCTGTTTCCTACTTTCTTTATCCTACCACACACACACACACACACACACACACACACACACATATATATATATATATATATATATATATATATATATATATATATATATATATATATATATATATATATCAAGGAAAAGCTTAACACATTACGGAAATATGGTAATAAATCATTATTTACTTCGACCAGTGAGTCTCATCAAACTGAAGATAT